AGAGACAGGAGGTTGAAGAATTGTCTTATTTAGTCTTTTTTTTTTTTTTTTTTTTTTTTTTTTTTTTTTAGGATTTTCACCAGTCTAAATTAAATCACCTTTTCTTTCCCTTGCTATGCTGTAGAATTTTAGTAATGTATAGGTCTGGTTCAGGCACTTTTCCTAGGTAACCTCACAGACCTGAAGTCATGACCATAGAGGCACTTGCATATATGCAATTGTATGTATTGTGTGTATGCATACACATACGTACACACGCACCTCAAGCAATGGGTGCTGGTTTTGGGGCTTCTCACTGTATATATTAGATCCTATATATTAGATAGATATTAGATCCAAAGTGATTAACTTCAACAATGTCCTACACTTTTAAGAAGTGGTTGGAGACCTTGCTCATGTATAGCAAATAAGTTGTCACATGGAAACCACAAACAGGCTTGGGCTGCTTTTGTGTGTTCTGATGCCAAAGCTTGAACTGCAGTAAAAAGATTACTAGTTTTTTTTTTGTGTGTGTGGGAGCAACCTCATCTCTGGAAGTCATGCCTGTGTAGCATCTGAATGGCAGGTTATTAGTTGAGGTATGGTGACATTCAAAAATTACTTTACTTCTTCTGAATACTAGGTACTAAATCCAAACTGTTCCAGTGTCTCACTTCCTAGGTGGAGTCTCTGCTACCTTGGTATGTTCTCACCAGATTCAATTACCTGTAGCAGCAACAAGTTGCTAACTGGAGAAATGGGATTCTTTGAAGGACCTGTGGATAGATGAAGGGGCTACTGCAGATGAAATGTCAAGAATACTTTCATCTAGTTTTCTTTGCTATTTAAAAATAACTTGGGAATAATTGCCCTATATTTCTTGCAAAGGACTAGCAAAATTTTTGAAGTCCTGATGGGAAAATAAAAAACTAGAAACTTTTATTGCTGTTTGTTAAAATTCAGGAAAAAAAATACTCATTTTGAAAGAAGATTTTTGCTAGGATTTATTATTGCTGGTTTCTAAAGCTTTCTAAACTCAATACAAAGACCATACTCATCAGCTTGTTCTTGCAATGGAATATTGTCATGGTGTACAAAGCTCACAGTTGTAAATAAAGGCTGTCATCCTATGATGTTAAAATTTGAAGCTGTGTAAGATAACTTTCAGAGCTTGCTTATATCTGTATTAATGTGGTGTGATTATGGAATTGTCCTCATTCACCTCCTCTTTCCCAATCGCATTTTATAAAGAAAGCTGTGGACATGCTGATTCAGGGAGAACAAAAAAAAAAAAAAAAGGAGGATAAGGACAGTCATAATTGTCAGTTAAGGTTAGTATTTGGGGATTTGGTGGTTTTTTTGCTTGTTTGTTTTATGACTAGCCAAAAAGTTTGTTTCTGGCAATCCATAATCTTACTGGCAGACTGGCAGACTCCAAAAAGCCTACCTGCTATTTTTTCTGATATAAAGTGAGTCCCTCTAGCCTTTTTTGACCAGCAGTAACTAAATAATACTGCTTATCAAAAAAATCTGTAAGAGAATAATAGGAGATCTGTAAGATGTGGTCCAAAAATCTACATTAAATCTGGGTGGTATGCAGAACTAGATGCACAGCAGCTGTGCTTTGATCCCACTCAGCCTCTGAGGAGACCGTTTCCATTTAGTCACTGCTCCTCTTCTAGGTAAATCCCATTCTACCCATGTCCCAGAGCTGAGCAGGACTGGTGATGTTCAGGTTCTTCTCTAGTCTTCTTTGTGACCAAAATAGCCTTTTCAAGCTCAATATTATTTTGGCTCAATTGAAGTTTTATATGATATGCCCCTGCCTCTGGGGCAGGGTTTCAGACAATTTCCAGATTCTCCCTATTACACTACTATATTATTTTGAGATGTGTTTTTATCCACCCATTCATAGAATCACAAAGTCATTGAGCTTAGAAGGGACTTCTGGAGATTCTATTGTCCATGCTACTGCTCAAAATAGGGTCACCTGGAGCAGGCTACTCAGGACTGTGTCAGGTTGGGTTCTGACTATTCTCCTGTCATGGTTTGATCCCAGAGGGCAATGGAACACCACGTAACCATTAACTCGCCCCTTCCCCACCCCGTGCTGGGAAGGAGAAAATGAAGAAAAACGCTTGGGAATTGAGATAAGGACAACGAGCAGTGTCTCACCCATTACAGTTATGGGCAAAAGACAGACTCATTAGGGGAAGGAAACGGACATAATTTTAATTTAAAACACTAGCAACAACAACAGACAGAATGGAACAGTGAGAAGGGTCTTAAAAATACTTTCCCCAGACCTTCCTTATTCCCAGAATCTCTACTTCGTCCCCGGCAGTGCAGTGGGCAGGGAATGGGGGATGCTGTATGTTGGCCGCTTCTTCCTCCAGAGCCGGAGGAAAGCACTCTTCTGCATTCTTCCCCCTGTTCCATATGGCATCCCTCTTATGGGAGACAGTCCTCCATGAACTTTCTCTGGTGTGAGTTCTTCCCACAGGCCACAGCTGTTCCTGTGTGAGTTCTTCCCACAGGCCACAGCTGTTCCTGTGCTGTTCTAGCATGGGTCACTCCTACATTCTGCAGTTTTCCAAGCACAAAATCACAACAGTGGGAGCTGCTTCTTTCCTCAGAGTCCCGAACTCCTTTAAGTGCAGCTGCCTTCTCCAGTGTGGGGTCCACCACGGGACTCGGGTCAGCTTCTGCTCCACCATTGACATCCATGGGTGGCAGGGGGGTGGCCTTGCTGTTTCACCACAGGAGACAGCGAGGCTCTCTGCTCCAGCACACCTCCCTCCCTTGTTCTTTCTTCCTTCCACTGACCTCGATGTTTGCATAGGTGTCCTTCCTGTAACTCCTTCTCACAGTCCCCAGCCCCTCTCAGGTTGCACTTCTTAAATACATTATCACAGAGGTGCAGCCACCATCACTAATTGGCTTGGCCTTGGCCAGAGGTGGGTCCAACTTGGAGCTGGGGGAGTTTTCAAGAAGCTTCTCCCAGGGGCCACCACTGTAGCCCCCTCCCCTGCTACCAGAAACCCTGACACATAAACCCAGTACACCTCCAAAGAGAGAGAGAACCTCTCTGGACAGACTGGTTGCATGTTCAGTCACCTTCACATTTAAAAAAAGGTTTTTCTTATGTTTAAACAGAAATATTCCAGTCTATCTCCTTTGCCTCCGGTCCTGCCATTGGGCACCACTAGAAGAGTCCAGCTCCATCTCCTTTACTCTCTCCATCACTACGCACACTGATAAGATACCCCTGAGACTACTCTTCTCTATGGGAAGCAGTCCCAGCTCTCTTAGCCTCTCCTCATATGAGAGGTGGTTCATTTTAGGGGCCATCCACTGGACTCATTCCAGTGTACAATCTCTGTTATAATGGGGAGCCTAGACCTGGACCCTGCACTGCATATGTGTCTCACCAGTGCTGATTACAGCGGAAGAATCACATTCCTTGAACTGCTGGCCACACTTCTCCGGATGCAGCTCAGGAGGCTGTTGGCTCACGTTCAACCAGAATCCCCAGAGCCTTTTCAGGGTCTTTCTATATGGTCAGTCCCCAGCATGTACTGATGTCTGGGGTTGTTTCTTCCTAAGTGCAGAACTTTGCATTTCCCTTTGTTGAACTGCATGAAGTTCCTGTTGGCTCAAGCCTGTTGAGGTACCTCTGAATGGCAGCTCAGCCATCTAGTGCAGCAGGTTTTCCACTACTTCCCAAATTGCAGATGTCTCAAAGATGTAAGCTAGTCATGTTGAGCAGACAGAGCTTATTTGGGGTAAACCTCAACAGGCACGAGTTCTGTACTGGTGAATGCAACAACTTAGAGATGCTTTTCCCTTTTCTTGAAGTTCTACCCTTTTATGTGATCTCCAGTGACACACATTGTGAAACCTAGTAATGCCGAGTAAATTACTTTACCACAAATATATGGCAATGTACTGTTCAAAAAAATTATTAATACCTTCACAGAGATCAACTGTAGCAAGGAAACTGACAACTGTTCAGTTTTAAAATAAAGTAAAAGCCTATAGAAGTATATCATACAAATTCAAACATGTCTTTTCCTCTCTAGAAAACTTTATTTCGTTCATAGAAACATGTTCGTGGTTGTCACACCCACTTGAGCAACTACCCCCCAAATGCAATAAGCTATGATTTTAAGCTCTTTTTATAATAAGGAAGGTAAATCCCTCAGTCTCACTTTGAAAACTTGCATGGTCAGGAGATCTACCCAGGCTAGAGTTTGGGCCATGTACCATGGAACTTCACTGTACTATAGCATAAAACCAACAAAGGAGAGAGATGGACACACACACACAACATCTACTGATTTATTTTTTTTTTTAATTGTCAGCTGATGGCTTGTGTAAGTTCACGTCCTGTTGGCACAAGCAGTGAGTGGTAGCTTTCTGAATACTGGCTCTTATTCCTTAAGCTAGAGAGGACAGGACCAGAGAAAAGTCAGCCACTTATAGTCCCTTTGGGCTCACTACATAGACATGCCAGCCAGCCTCCAAGAAGTCACTGGAAGGGCAGCTTAGAGTTGATGAGATGTTCCTTCATTGTTGATATATGCCTTTCATGTTCAAACAGGAAATTTACTGAAGATTTCTTAGACAACTGGGATATTTTCCCTGAACTGTAAAATGGAGGCTTAGAATGGGGAGATGGAAAAAAAAAAAAAAGCTCACTGTCTGGCAGATTTTTAGTCTGAATGTTTTCTATTTAAAGAACAAAAATGTTACTGTTTTGTCACTTGGTTTTTAAGTTGGGATAATACTTAGCATAATTTTCTATAGTTAAACTACTTTTTGTTAATTAGTTTTACTCTTCTACTTTGAAGTTCAAACCTGTGTATGATAAGGAAACATCTTACTCTGTCAGAGCTGCCTTTTTCATATTAAACTTCTCCCCTGAATATAAGATGTTGCTATAGTTCTTTAAATAGTTCTTGTATCCTGGAACATGAAAGATGATCAGATATATTTAATCTTTGGTTAAATAAATGGAGTCACAACGTTTCTTCTTATGGGATACTGTGATATGTTGGATACTGGGGGAGCATAGAGTTTGAAAAATAGAATTGATATATCAGATATAAGCCCACAAAATTAAAGCTCCCTCACCAGATGGATTTCTTAGCTCAAAATACAATATTATGTTAATCAATGACAGAAGAAAAACTTCTTTGAATTGGCAAAATGTTAGATGCAGTCCATCAGCAGATCAAACCAGTATTTTATGGGTTTCTGTAATTCTGTTTCAGTTAGTTGGATTCTGGGACAACCTGGCAAAAATAGGTTTTGGGGGGTTTTGATTTTAAGAAAAGTTTATTTTACAAAATATTATATTAAATACTCTAAATCCTTTTAAAATATCCTATAAAATAGTTCCCATCACAAATTATTAATAATTTACCTAGCATCTCTGGTGACTGCAGATGACACTTGAGTATAGGTAACTTCTTTAAAACCTCACATGTTCTTTAGCAAATTTGCAATGTAAGGAACTTCCAACTGTTGTTAGTTTATGCTTTTGTAAGACATAAACCCTTAATATATGCTATTTCCAGGTACCACACAGGAGATACCTAGTTCAGGGTGTTTGATGATGGTGTAGATTTAAGGAGTTGCTGCATGCTTTCTACTTCCTCAACAACAAAGAGACCCTAAAGGATTTGGAGATATTTTTTCCCTAGGATGTGAAGTAAGAGGAGAGGATGGCTGGAATGTGAGTTTTTCCGTGGTGGTGCATAGATAATTTAGAATGGAACATAGATAAATTGGAAGTTAAGACTGAAAGACTGAAATTCCTGTGGCATTTGCAGTTGTCATTCAAAGACCATGTCAGTAAACCTTACTCAGTTGTAGTATAATTTAATGATTCAAAGTTATGGGAGATGAATACATAACTAAGATGACTGTGGAATGGCCTTTCAAAAAGTTATTTCACAGCCAATAGTGTTTGTCTGCTTTGTATCTGTGTATATAAGGTGGCAAAGTTAGAATAAATGTATTGAGAACAATTTTGTATTAAAGATTATTTGATTTCAGATTAACATTTCACACAGCAAAGCAATCTAATAAAGTTCTTTGGCTTTTAAAAATACTTAAGTAGTGTCCTTCTGAAATAGCTATTATACATAAGAGAGTCCTGTGTTCCCTGCACAGGGCCATGACAGGAGTTGAAACAGGTGTTCTCTCTGTTTGAAAGGGAAATAAAACAAAATTAGAGCAACGGCAAATTAGTCTACTTGTGTTCAGCAGCACAAAGTGCTAATATAAGGTCCAACTAATTATGGTTAATATCAGAAAATATTTTAGAAAAACTATTTACAATGTATGTGTTTGAGCAAGATATAACTGAATCAAGCAGGTCATGAGTGGTAGATTTTTTTTTAAAAAAGGTGATTTCAGGCAATTGTCTAAGTCTCATATAAAGTCAAAAGAACTTAGGGTGCTGAATTTCTCAGATCCTTCAGAAGAAGTTAGGCTCCATCCTTCTGGGTTAAAAAAAAAAAAAAAATCCTCGTAATTAGACTGTTAAATTTTGGTGGGAAACTTCTATTTTAATCCAGTGCTTACTATATCAACCTATATGTTCATAAGATGACATTGCAAAACTGTGGTCTTGTACTGAGGAAATGTTGATAGATTAGTGTTTAGACTAGGACTCAAACTGATCTTTTGATTAAGTTCAAAGTGTGTGAATGCTGGGTGCTGCTCATTTCCTACTTCTGCTTTTTGTCTCATTAAGTAACTTGGGCTTTTGTTCTTGTCCCATGTATCACAGGGCTTGTCTGGATACTCCCACACCTTCTCTTGGGTTTGTGCCAAATACACAAGCAAAAGGCCAATGTTCAACTCTGTGGTCACCATTCTCACATCACCGAAGTAGTTTGTATTTCACTGGTGGTGTGTGTAGCAGAGCTTAGATCCCTTTATGCAATGCTTGGTACGGTCAGAGCCAGGCTAACCTTTGTTCTAAGCAGTGTGGTTTGGGCTGTCACTGAACATGTAGACAGAGGAAAGTGTTGAGATTACAGCTTTCTGGGGAAAAAAAAAACCAAAACTGAGAGGGGCATTTGTGCTAAACAAATTGAAAAAAAGTGCTGTTGTGAAATGCAGTTATACATTTGCCAGCTTTAATAATCTGTGTGCCTTGTTAGTTTTAAATGCTTTAAAAATGTTTAGAAGTTGCTAAGTGGCTGCTGTGACAGCCTAAGTTTTCAATGTGAAAAGTCATATGCATGCACTCCCCTTAACGAGTACATGTGTATGCATTAGCAGCGCTGGATCTGTCCCCTCTGCCCTTGCCTTTCCATATACTGTCGCAGTGACTCCTTGAGCACTGACACTTAGGTCTGACATACCTCTTGTGACAGTGCAGGGAAGGAGTTCCATTTCCCTAAGCAAAGCCATGCATCAGTTCTATTGTCTTTTGGAAGCTTCTGCCTTTAGATGACAGGTGCGCGTTTCAGGAACTACACTAATGACAGTGTTAGTGGTTAGGTTGGTTTTAGTTTTTTTTTGTTTGTTTGTTTTGTTTGTTTGTTTGTTTTGTTTTGTTTTGTTCTTTTTGGGGGGGCGGTGTTGGTGTTTGTTTTGTTTTGTTTTGTTTTGTTTTGTTTTGTTTTTCCTGACAGTGTTATTTGATTTGTTAGGGGATTTTTTTTTCCTGCTCTTTTTGAGAGTGAGGATATTCAGGATTATAGGAGTTTTATTATTAATTTGCAATCAGTTTCAAAGTGTTCAGATGAAGCACTCCTCCTAATGCAGCCAGGGTGCAATTAGCCTTTGCTGCTGCAGTGACACATTGCTGGCTTGTGTTCAACTTGGTGTTCACCAAGACCTCCAGGGTCTTTCCTGTCATGCTGTTTTCCAGATGGTCAGCCCACCGTAACTGGTGCCTGAAATTGTTCCTCCCCATGTGCAGGACTTTGCACTCTGTCATGCAGTTAACATGAGGCCCTGTCAGTCCATTTCTCCAGTCTGCTGAGGAGTGCTGCCAGCAAGTGGAGGGAGGTGATCCTTCCCCTCCCCTGGTGAGGCCACACCTGGAGTTCTGGGCTCCCTACTACAAGGAGGAAGAATCACAGAGTCACTGAGGGAAGTTGTTTCTGAAAAGTTCTTTTGTTTCCCATTTAAAGCCTGTCCAGGCTCTACTATTCAGTTTTATAGGATGCACACACACACACATCTGTGTCAGCATCACCTGTGATCTCCTTTTCTATTTTTTTTATAAAATTACTTTAAAAATACTTTTAGTGTTTTCAACAGTAGCAGACACTTTTTGGTGAGGGGCAGCAGTTTTTGCATGTTAAGCATGTGAACTATATTACAAAGCCTCATATCCCATGTGCAGCACCTTGGAGGATTCAACCAGAGGTTGTTAAATTTTGGTTCTAATGATGATTTTGTTCTGCTGCTTTCCTTCAAGTTGTTTGGAATGACTTAGAAATGAAAACTAACTTGATCCTGCACTTTTACAGCACAAAAGACCAGAACGAGCTATGGAACTGTTGCTTTATATAATTGTTCCTAGCTAAAAAATTATGTGTTTAAGCTTTTTTTGGTTTTCTAAGAATCCTGTAATTGAATGAGCTATTTGCAGACATATTGTTACTTCCACCTTTATACTTTGTAGCAGAAATAATGAGATATGTAGGTGTCAAATAAGTGGTGCCAGTGCAGAAGCAGACATTCAGCTATATACATAGCAGTAGTCCATATGGACTTATAAATAATTCTTTAAAGTATATTGTTTCTTTCTCTACAGAGCTTTTAATGGTAATTATTAAATATGTTTGGAAATTCTTCATCTCTTAATTTAACTTCAGGATTTGCAAAAGTCTTCTTGTTAATCATTTATTATCTTAATCATAATATTCCTGTCATCAGCAGGGGAAAAGTCAGCAGAATGTGCTTTTAACATGTGGGATTTTAGAATGAATGAGAGCTGTTACCGTGGTAACAAATGTAGAAGGTGGTTCTGAATCCTACAGAATATGAATGAAGTGTTTGAAACAGCTTCTGGTTTTGGGGGGATTCTTTCTTTGGTTGTTTCCCTCTCCCCCCTCCCCTGCCAAATTTGTTTCTTTATTACATTTATGGAGGGGGGTGGGTTTGTATTGTTAGTTAGTAAAAAGCTTCAATGCTTCAATGCTTCAAAATATTGCCTGGCATAGACATCAGGAACGCTTATCGGTAAATGAACAAGAGAAGTGAAAACACGTTTTATTTTTGGGTTACATTCTTTTGGACAACAAGAACCAACTGTGTTTGAGTTGTAGAGAGGAAATCTGCTTTGACTTTTCCCCAGGTCATTAAAAACACTATCTTGTCCCTGCCTTGTAGTAGTGGAAACAGCTGTGGGTTTGTTTTCATGTAACTATGTGCATTACATTGTGAAGCTTATTTCAGCATTTAATATGGTACCTCCATGAAAGTGGTTAACAGAATGGGCAGACTAATCCTCCTGAATGTCTCTAAAAGATTTTTCTTTCTGATAAACCTCAAAAAACTCCTTTCTCCTCCTTCATGTCTCCTTGAAATAACACAAATTTAGTTCTGTATAATCATTCATTCATTCATTCATTCATTCATTCGTCATTCAACATGAGGTTTTGTTGCTCCAACCTTATAAATTTTCAGTAATGTTTATTTACCTGAAAGCCATTTTTGTTATGTCCACATTTGCACACAAGCACCATTTAGTTCGCTATATATCAAACTGTTAATTCTACACTTACAGAAAGTTTTTTTCCTTCTATCAGTTGAACAAGCCAAACAACTGCAATTCGAAATATTGCAGATCCTGTTTAAATATAGGGGTTTTTTGTTTTTAATGCAAGCAGCAAATCTTCATATTTAATTACTAGATTTTGGTATCTTTATTCTCATAATTATTTCTGCCTATGAAATGACTCTGTAAAGAGAGTCAGAATTGTGGCCTCTCATTAGAAGCTTGAGACAGAGGCATGAGGCTACTGAGTTTTGCAGAGCTGATAAGTCAGCTA